TTTTTAATATTAGGGTTTTATTTTTCCCTGAAATTCTCTATGTTGACTATAATTGCCTTTCCTTCTCTTTCTCCTAATTTTAGGAGAACTAATTTTGGGATCTCCTCTAGATTTCTGGTCCTTGGTTTTCAAACTTTGCTGCATAGAAGACTCATGGGCAGGGGTGCGGGGGGGGGGCGGGTGTAGTTGGGGATGATGGTTTAAAAATTCTGATGCCCAGTTTGCATCCCAGATTGTATTCAGAACCCGGGGGGGTTGGGACTCTCAATTCAGTCCCTACACACTTAGGTCTCTGTGATGTTATGATAAATGTATTGATTTTCATCCACAGTTCCTAGCTGATAACTCCCATAGTTCTTGTTATACTGCTGGGCACTTGAGGGCCCAGGCACAGGTTTCAGGAGATAGAATCTCTCTCTGAACTTCTAACCTCCTTTCACCTGCCCAAGGCAGTGATCTAATCTGATTGTGGGTCAAAAGACCCTCATTCCAGAGAAAGTTCTGCCCCATTCCCTGGAAGAAGGAATGCTGCACAGAGAGGTCAAGAACAACCTAAAGATACAGGCCTTGCTGGGTTTAGATCATGTACTTTTTACCCGATGACATTTCTACACAGTTGTCGATCATACCTATGTAATGAAGCCTCCATGAAAACCCAAAAGGACAAGGTTCAGGGAGCTTCTGAATAGTTGAACATGAAGGAGGTTACTGAAGGGTGACGTGCCCAGGGAGGGCATGGAAGCTCTATTCCCCCTTTCCCCCATTCATCATCCTATGCATCTCTTTGCCTGTACCTTTTTAGTATCCTTTATAATAAACCAGTAAATATAAGTGTTTCCCTGAGTTCTGTGAGCTGCCCCAGGAAATTAATCAAACCCAAAGAGGGGGTCATGGGAACCCCAACTTGATGGAGGTCAGTCAGAAGTTCTGGAGGCCCTGACTTGAACTGGTGTGGGGAGGGAGCGGTCTTGGAGACTGAGCCCTGCTCTACAGGGCCTTGATGCTATCTCCAGGTAGATGGTATCACCATTGAATTAGGGGACAGCCAGCTGGTGTCTGCTACTCAATGTGGGGCCCAGGGGGAAACCCACACACATTTGTTCACAGTCTTCTGTGTTGATCATTGTTGTGACGTAAGAGCAGAGGAGAGACACCGTTTTGAGAGTTTTTCCCAAAACAGTGTGTGTGGTGGTCAAATTTTTGTGTCAGCTTGTCTAGGTCATGGTACCCAATTGTTGGTCCAACACCAGTCTAGATGTTGCTGTGAAGGTGAGATTTCTTAGCTGGGATTAACATTTGAATCAGTAGCCTTTGAGTAAAGCAGATTGCTCTCCATAATGTGGGTTGACCTCATTTAATCAGTTGAAGGTCTTAAGAGTTGAAGTCCCCAAGAGGAAGAAGGAAATCTGCCTTTAGACGGCCTTTAGCCACCAGCTGCAACACGATCTCCTTCCTTGCTCTCCAGTTAACAGAACTGCCTTGTAAATTTCAGACTTTCCAGGCCCCACAGCCATGTGAGCCAATTCTTTAAAATAACTCTCTTGACTGATAGATACATACATACAACCATACCTGCTGTTGATCCTATCGGTTCTATTTCTCTAGAAAACCCTGAGAAATACAGTCTTATAATCAGTCATCTTACCCACTTTGACCAGGACCATTGCCACTCTAACCACCTCCTGCATCTGTCTTTTTCATTATAACCCATGAGTAGAATAACTGTTTTTACAAAGTAACATACTAAATTGAAGCAGTAAAATCTTTTATATTTGGGCAAGGAGAATAATACATCTTTACTTGACCAAATTAGTTCTTTGATTAGCCTTGCTCTTGTAGTTCAATGTATCATGTTGATCTCGTACATTTTTAATTAGTAGATTTATATTAAAGACCAAGTGTTAAAACTGTTTAATCTCGAAAGGCCCAGTTTGCAATAAGATGAAACAGATTCTGGGGGATGCAACTGAGCTGCCAATAAAGAGTAATTGAAACGCAAATGTTCTTTATTGTTCGTTAATTATGTCGTTGTTATTCATCCAGCCCTCTTGATTTTTCAAGTTAAGTAATCATGCTTGTATTTCACCCCAGCCTCTCTGTTTAGTTAGCCAATTAATTAAGGAAGAGCATATTCTGCATTTATTAGCATTCTAATAGTCCAGTTGATTCCCAATGGTCCAAACATCTACATGTGTTCAGTTTTTGAGTTCAGCTTTATCCCCTTTTAAGTAATTCCATTTTTAATTGAAGATACTAGAAATGGAATACCATGCCCTTAAATATCCAGTCCAATCCACTTCATTAAACCTGCCCTTTGAAGATGAAGTTCAGGAGTTGGTCAAACATTACAAAGGAATCAAACATGGTCGCAGTTAGAAATCAGTTGGAAATATCAGTGGCCAGGGATTCCTATGCTCTTGGAAATTCCTCTCTTTGAGGTACTAAGATCAGCAAATCTGTGGAAGCATCCACTAGCCTAAAGGTCATGCATATCTATTTTTTGTTGTTCTTTTTTTAAGAAGCATGTAATCCAAAGCTGTCATCAATGTTCATTGGGTTGAATTGCATCAAATGTTAAAAATTAGAACATTGTCTCCATCAAAAGACAAAATTACAACAAATTTAGTTTAAAAATATAATTGGCTTTTATTAGTGATTCATGAATTGGACAGCATCTCAATAATTCAGAAAAGGTGCTCTACCGGGCATTGCCGAACAATTGGTTTTTTATAAGGTGAGAACAAGAAAACAGAATAATAATTTTAAAAAGTGGATTGGTTAATATTGGGTTACTTTCGGTTACTTTCTTTGCAAGGGTTAAACAGGCACCTTCCTTATGCCGGCTCAGGTTGACTGGACACTCTTCGATTGGTTGCTGTGAATCTCCTGTTTTCAGGAAAAATTGGTCTGTTTGGCCTTTTACCTGCTTCTTTAAAGTTTCAGTTTGATTATGTGCCACTTAGCATGGCTGACTCCATTTTTGGTTGGGTCTTTTGGGGTCTAGTGCAGGAGCTCAGTCAAAAACAATGGCCCCCTGTAAATTTTATTGAACATCTCTCAGCCAAAGACATATTTATGATTTAAAGAACCTTCTGGCGTGGACTACAAAACACTGTATTATATTTGATTAACCATAACAAGTCAAAGAGAGCTCTCTGGTTCCTGACTTGGGGAAAAACCATTTTAATCAATTGGGTAGGGGAAGGTAGAAGGACGGTTAATTGCTAGTTATGCATTAGAGCCTACCTTTCGTTTGTTAAGAGGGCAGGACCAGCTAGATACTTTGTGTGAATAGCAGCTCACAATAATACTCCGTTGTGTTAGTCTTATCAGTCTTCACTTACAACACACAAGCTCAATGGCTAAATCATTAAGAATGTCAAGACAGTAACAGAGCAGAGCATTAAACGAAGTGTGGATCCTTCTGAGTGTGGGGCCCCATGTGACGGCCCAGGTCACATGCCCATGAGCCTGGCACTTAATAGGGATGAATCTCTTTACCTCTTTATGCTGGGAGACAGGTTTAATATCAGCCTTTTCTGTGCCATGCTGAGTTTCTTTGGAAATAATCCTTTTTATTTAAGTCCAAAGAAGCCAAAAACATCATCCACATAAACTGGCTCCACATTTTCAGGGGTTAGTAAGTTCACCATGATCTCATATGACTTTCACTTTGCATAAGGAGTTGTATCCTATATAGAGGAAAATTCGAGACTAGGACTTTAGAGGCAGTGATTGGAAGGGAAGCAGCAGAATGTTAGTGTTAACAGCATAGGTTTTGCCGCCGGACCACTCTGTGTTCAAACCAAAGCTATTACACTTCTAGTTCTGTAACCTGTAGCACATTGTTAAATATTTGTTTCCTTTCTGAAAAAAATGGAAGGGGAATAATGAATAATGCCCCATAGCGTTGTTGAACAGATCAGGCAGAGTCTGGTGTCCACATGTAATCCAGACATCTTTAAGGGGTGTCACCATGCTCTTAAAGATCTAGAATCGTTGACCCTAACCCTCACTCCACCCCATCCCAGCTCAGTGTCCTCTGTTTTCTTGAATGCTGGAAGAGCTCAAGTGTCCTGGTCACTTTGGCTCTGAGATCCTACTTGTGTTCAGTTATCTGCTCTGCTCCTGCTAGCCTGGGGTACTTCATCATGCCCTCTTGGTTTCCCTTAAACTCTCTTATGCCCTTGTAAACAGTCCCTTTATTAAACACTGTTCAATTACCTCATCTGTTTCCTATTAGAACCCCAACTGATATGCTCACTATTTTATCTCCTGCTATCATTAAATCTTCTGTTTGTTCTTGGCCCACAGTGGGTATATAGTTCACTTAAGACAGAAACCCCTCCAGGCATTTCACACTGGAAGGGACCTAGCATATTGATTTACAGAATCTTTGGAAGAACTTGGGAGGGAAGGTCAGGGGAAAACCTGGCTTTCCTAAGGTTAGGAAACCACAAAAACTTCACAAAACAGCAACCAGTGCAACCAGTGGCATCTAAATGGATGAATCACATTAGAATGACCCAAAGTCAATGCAAACAGCAAGTCTGCCCACAGCCTGGGCAAGTGCCCGCTTCTGCTGTGAGAGACAAATGGCTTCCTCCTCTCCTCCACCTTCCAGATCTCACACAGAGCTTCTCTTGGGCAAGATCACACCTGTAACCTTGCTTTCAAGGAACTTGGGAGAATGATGCTGAGCTGGCAATAAAGAATCCATACAATAAGCGCTCAATAAATAATGAATTCACCTGGGAAAACTTCCCTAGTCTCCTGGTTACCTCAGTTTCATCTTCCATAAAATGGGGGATAATAACAGTAAGCAGTACCCCTGCATTTAGATTCAATGAGAAATACACATAAGATATTTCAAAATGAGTGAAGAAGAGCAGATGTTCTTAGTCTTTTGTGTGTGTGTGTCATGGGTCCCTTTGGTTGTCTGGTAAAGCCTATAGATCTCTTTCTAGAAAATAAATGTCTCAAAATTAAAGATAATAGGATTCAAAAGAAAATTATATGTAAATACAATTATTAAAATTATTTCGAATTGTGCTATAGCAATACACATGCACTCATTAAATAACAAAATCCAGCAGCAGGTCTAATGGCTACCATCATTTGGAAGCAGTGTTTGGTGTACATGGTCCCAAGCTATCCATGACATCGGAAATGTGCTATGAAAATATATGGATTCTGTTAGCAACAAAATCACAGGTTCTGCATATACTACTGTGATTTGTTGTCTACCTCTACAATTGAACAGAATGCTAAATTTCAGTGAGGTGAGGGTGGCAACAGTGTAATTTTTTTTCCATCTATATTCACAAGTTGAGACCCCAGAATTGGAGAAATCAATACTCCCAATAGAGATGGGGGGGCTTCCTTACAGTGCCAAGCATGGGGTCTATGCCTGTGGAAGGGAAAGGAGATCATTGCCCACTGAGCCCCCTTTTCCTTTAGGGCCCCTGAGCCTAGTATCCTCCTAAGAGGACAGGAAATCAGCCATCCCTCTGTTTTTTACTTCTACCAATTTTCTAACCCCCAAATTGGCGCAGCTTCCTACAGCAGGGGGAGAATCACTTAAAGACTAAACACCCCAGCTGCCAGATGGCTAAACCTTCTGGGTTGCATGGACATGCCACCAAAACACTGGGAGACACATGGGAGCAGTGTGTGATACAACATTCCACAGGGAGGCAAAAGACTGGAATCCCAGAGCAGAAAGGGATCCGATGACTCCCGCACACCTTGGGTGTGCGCAGATAACGGTGACAGTGGGTGAAGAGCACAGGCTGGAGTGCTGGATGAATTTGGGTTTGCAATTCTGGCTCTTGTCCCTTGCTGACTCTTGCTTCGAGGCCAAGCCTCACGTTCCCCACCTGCAAAATGGAGATAATTACAGCACCAACCACACAGGGTTACGGTGAGGATGAAGTGAGGTGAGCGTGCAAAAGGATTGAGCACAGTGATTGACACAGAATAGCTGTTTAGTTAATGTTAGCTTTTAGAAGTAGCACTACTATGTAAATTCTTTTCTGTGTTTTGGGAGGGTTTTTTTTTTTTAGGTTCTGTGGGTAAAGCAGCAAATCAAGCATATCATCTGCACAAACATGCTGCTAAATTACCATGCTGAAGGGAATCAAACAACAGGTTCATGCTATCACAAATGCGATCATGTGGAAGGTGGGGCGTCCCTCCTATAAAAGCAGTTTCTAACAAAAGCAATGGCCCTTTGCTGCACTTCAGTCGCTGGGCTGAGCCGACTACATTTTTGCTCTGTGTCAGACCTGTAAAATCCTGTCATAGCTGTCTGCTTTGCAAATAGAGTCCGGTCCACTGCCATACTCTGAAATAAGACGCTCAGTAACTTCGCCCCAGCTGTTCACTTGAGTTAGCACACGTCAATACAAGCGAGGTCTATTATGGTTCAGTGATTTTCCATCACTTGTCAGTCGGCACAGCCTTCTCCTTGTTCCCTCTCCCTCGTGTCTCCTAGACTTCTTAAAGAATTTCTTACCGCTTTGCTCTGTCTCTGTTCCCCTGGTGCCTGCCTTCTCGTTTCTCTTCTGAATGTTTTATGAAAAACTGGCAGCGAGTCTGAACACCGGCCAGAAGATGAAAGACACACAGAGTCAGGAACAGAAACATACACGTGGTCCCCCCCCCTAAAAAAAGAGTCTCAAGCCTCAAACTTTAATCCCTGAGAAACTTAATGCTGTTGACTTACCCAGCATTAATTAAGCTACTAAATCCACCAGCTTCCCAGATAACAATCTGTAGTCCAAGACATGCTCCAAAACTAATTCCTAGATGAGGCGAGACATTTGCAAAGTGACGCCCGAGCTCCGCTGCGTGGGTGGCACCCTGCGGTATCTGAGAGCTGCTGCCTTATGTGCGCATTTAAGCTCAGATCCCATTTTCAGATGACATCAGTGCTTGCTGGGGGAGACAAGGGGCCACAGGCTGGCACCCAAAAGTCGGGTAAGCCCAGGAAAATTCAAGATACATAGCAGGTTCCTGCAAAGAACCATACATTTGTATAGCATCATTATGTATGTAGGCTTTGATTAGATTTTTTAATGCCATTCCTTAATAATCTCAGGCAGTTTAAAATTATTGGAGCCCTTTTAGAGTCGAGAGAACTAAAGCTTGGGGAGGTTATGATCTGTCTGAAGTCGCGTGCTAAAAATGGTGGAGCCATCTCGAGATTTCTTTACTACTGCACAGATGAGAAAGTGAAAATCCTACTTGACTTAATTAGCCTGGATGGTTGTATAATTAAATTAAGACACTCTCCCAGAGCATCTATCTATAGCACTTTGCTTTTATGTAACAAAAGGCAGTCATGGGAATTGGAAAGTTTTGGAACTCCTCATCACTGAGCCACTTCCCAAACAGGGCCAGAGCAGGCATTGCAAATTTGGATTTATTCTTGAAATGCTTCTAGGTCCTCCAGGAAGCTGTCACCTCTCAATTCAGACTGGCCCATGTGGTATAAATCTTTCTGCTATTTCTAACTAATCAGTGGGTTTTTTCCACCTTATACTAATGATATGTCCAAATGTAAAGGAAAAAAAACTTTTAAGAAGGGGCTATTTGAAGCCTGGCATAAAATTTTTCTATCACTATTTTAAAAGCAGAAATGGTACTTAAAGATACGGATACGGTAATGAGTGAACTAACCTGTCTCTCCATCAGCCCTGTATTGATGGCCATCATGTTTATAGAATCTTAACTATAAACTGGATGGCCCTCTTTTCTCTTTTTCATATGATTTTGGTCTCTCTGCCTATGACGCTGTGGTTTGAGGCACTATAGGGAGATGCAGTAGATGACTATTTACTGAGCACCTACTGTATGCCAGGTACTCTTGGAGGGGTTGAGGATATAGCATTGAAAAATATGACATCTTTGTTCTTATTGAGCTCACATTCTAGAGGCATGAGACAGACATGACTAAGTAAGAAAAATAAATGTACAAGGTAACTTAAGACATGGAGAGGTGCTGTAGAAGAAATGGAATAGGATGTGATGGAGTGTGCCTTGAAGACCTCCCAGAGGAGATATTTGAACTGAGACCTGAATGATGAGAAGCGATCATCATTTAGAGTCCTCAGAGCAGAGCATGCCAGGCAGAGGGAGCTGCATGCAAGGGCAGTAGCAAGCCTGGCATGGTAGAAGACAAGGAAGAAGGCCACTGTGGTAGGAAAATGTGAGTAAAGAGAGAACTGGGTAAGAATAGTTAGGGCCAGACGATTATAGCTCCTCAGAGGCCACGGTCAGGAGCTTGAGTTTATTTTGAATTTATTTCCAAGTCATTGGAGGGCTTTCAGTAGAAGAGGAACCAAACCTGTAGTGACTGACATATTTAGAAAGTCAGGATAGTGGCTGCCCTTAGGGAGCTGATAAACTACAAATACATCACTAATTGTAACATAAGGCAACGGTTGAAGGATGAGTCACAAATGCTGAATGTTGGTTGTATATATTAATATTCTTCACCGGGCCAGGGGGGTCCAGCTGGTAAATGGTGTTCCTATCTGGCCACATGCATAGTCTAATGCCAAGAGTTTAGCAATAAAGGATAAATTAGCTAGTGTCTTTGAACTCAAGGGGAAATATTCATCACTTTTCTTTTTAAAATACAATTATTAATACCAACTTTCAAAGACTACAATAAAATCTTTTCAGTCCCTTCAGAAAGGGCTTGTGTGGTGCAAGTGCTGACATCCAACCTTTTATTTCTTTGATTTGCAGAAAATGGGAAACCATGATCACCTGAGCATTTTACGCTCAAAGCAACCCTCCTCTTTTGTGTTTGCAGATGGCAGCATTTGAAAAAGAATGTTTTAAACATTTACATCTAGTTAGTGCAAACTTAAGGTCATTACTGGTATAGTATCCTGCAGCCAGGAGCCTGTCATGTCCACAGGGAATAGCATTTCTAGGGTCAGTATCTCTGAGTTCTCGCAGTTGTTCTGTAACTTTGAGCAAATATTTTTACTTTGCAGGGGTGGCCTTGGTTACTCAAAGCCAAGATGAGGGAATGGATGTAGACCATCCCCAAATTCTTCCACACCACTTTTACTTCCAATGCTCTGCTAATCCCTCTGCATTTGGGTTGATTTTTAATAAAGTCCACTATGTTGGCATCTATCCTGTACATTGAGGTAGGAAGTAGAGGGCAGTTGAATTGGGAAAGTTAAGCTATCCTGGACTGTCAAGGAGGCAGTATGTAATATCCTCAGTGGGGTGACCCTCGCAAGGTGCAGTCAGGCTGTTTACACCAACTATTTGTGGTCTCCATGAAGGTTGTCAGTAGCTTACTTTAAGTGTTAGAGTACTGACAGGCTTACAAAGGAAGATGAGACCTGCTTCAGAGAACTCATGATCCACCCTACGAGATAAGACATAAATAGATGAAAAGTTAAATAATACCATACAAGTGACTAATGTGATCTGCCACAAGGTGTTACATGATTGATTATTAAATAAAAATAGTATGGAGCAAAATAAATGTAGAAGAAGCTGATCTCATAATTTCTGAGGGATGAATTCATTTATTTATTCAATTTATTGAAACACTTAACAAGTCCTTAGGGCACGCTCACCTTGCCAAGAGCTCTGCTAGGTGCTGGGGAAGAGGTGGTGACCTTGGACGTGGTTTTGGATGTACAGGTCAATATTGGTCTTTGGGAGGGACTCACTGCTGATGAAACTGTCAGATTTCTCCTCTCTCACACTTATCACCACAAAGATGTGCATAGACCAAACTGTGAACTTAGAATATCAGAATTTACTGTGACTCGTCCCAAGGTTTGCTAGAATTAAAGAACTATCCAATTATCAGTTACTTATTACCTTTCTTTTCTCCAGTGTTTCCTGCAGAGAGCACATATCCTCAGCTCAATTTGAAAGCCTCTGAGGACAAAGAGCTCCTTCCTTTCTGCAACGTCCATTTCTGCTGATAGATGGGTTCAGAACTTACACATGTTTTCTTCACGTTGTGGCAGACACTTCTCTCTGCCTCTTTCCTGCAGTCATCTGCCAAGTGATACAGAAATCTGTGGGCTCCTGCCCTGAAGGAGACCTTGGAGCCCTCCTATGCTGGGAGCAAAGAAATGTTTAATCAGAGTAATATCAGAGAAATAATAGTATTTTAAACATGTATTTTACGGAAGATAATGAAGCTGCTACTTTGATGAAGGATTACATAGCAGGTAGGGTCAAGGCAGATTTTTCAAGCTTCCTTTAGTTCTATTTGTTGCTTCAGCCAAGGCTACGACCTCATTTTTCGTATATCACACGGGGTACATTTTAATTTAATAAAGGCAGCACATACTCATCCTTAAGCCAAATTCCCAAGTTGAAAAGGTGACTTTGAATTTCAGAAGCTATTTCCTGGAAGTTTATCTTAGACTCTGCTTTTACTAGCTCAATTGCAATGACTTTGGCAGTCATTAAAAGTGATTATTTGCGTAGTGGTTTCCAGCGAGCCATCCATGTTTCCAGTTCTTAGTGATGTCTGGGGCCCTAAAATATATCTAGAAACAAAATTGTTTGCATATTTTCAGAAACTCCTCATCTTGTGCTTCTTAGATTTACATCTTATAATGACTTCCATTTATTAGTTCAGTGTCCATTATGTAGCAGGTAGTCTGCCATGCACCAGGGGTACAGTGGTGAAAAATCTCCATTGTTGCAAGGGACACACACATCCATAGGCTCAGGGACACCACTGGTTCTAAGTTTTGGTCACAGCTGTGGTGTCCAGGCTGCAGGCACTGCTGCTCTTGTCCACAGAACTTAGTCTCACTCTCTCCATGTCTCAGCTCTGGGTTGCCTCTGTCTTCAGGCAGGTTTCCCCTCGTGGAGGCCAGGCAATTGTCAGCATCTCCAAGCCTAACTCCTCCTCTCATCAGTTCCAGAGGAGAGAACCACAATCCTCAAAAGTCCATGAAAGCCCTGTAATCGAATCCCATTGGCCGAGGTTGGGTCACATGCCCATTTCTGGACCAGTTCTAGACTGTTCCAGGAAGGTAAAATATACTGATTGGCCAGGCTGGGCTACAAGGTCACCCTGGGGCAGGGGACGTGGGTGAAGTGGGGCCAGCTAGACGGAGAGAAGGAATATTCTGGATGGAAATTGGGAAGTGAATGCTTGATGGTCAAAACCAGCAGATATTCTGCACAGAAACATTTTGCTTAAGCACATTGCATAATTTTGAGCTAAAAGATAGCATCCTCCATGCAGGGAGGTAAGTGGACATCAATCGTTGTATTTAGCTGGTTAGGGCCAACCCAGGGTCAGAACTCAGGTCTTCTGACTTCTTGTCCAATCAACCCTTCGTAAATGCCTCCATTCTTAAAGTCAGTCACATAATTTGTGCAAAATGAAAATGTGGAGCCACTTGTTTGAAAATGATTAGGAATTTCAGGATGGCTACAGCAGAGCATTAAACTAAGGACACAGATCATGTATGAAGTCAGCCCTGCTCAGCCAACACCATTTTCCTTGTGTGCAGTGCACAGTATTTGTTGGAGTACAGGCATGCAAAGAATTAGAAGACATGACCTTCAGTGCCGACCAGCTTTTAATCTAGTGTAAGACTGGAAGAGTTAAAGAGACTCTGACAACAATATAATAGCTTTGGAGAAACATGTAAAGTTGGGCTCTCTTTTATGTCAATAATCTTCTATAGGAGTGAATGTTGTCTTGAGCTACATAAATAGGGATATAAATCCATAAAGAGAGAGGAGATAGTTCCACTCCACCCACGGGTCTGCCCCTGGGCCGGCCACTAACTAATAATTGGATTAGCTTCCGGCTCCTACATGCTTTGAAGACATTTGTTTTATTTTTAAGGGTTTGAAATCATTTGTGCATAAAGCCAGGGTTGTTTGTTTTTGTTTTTTTTCCTACTGTTTTTGCACACAAATCTGTCGTGGACTGAACTGTGTCCTCCCAAAATGTCTATGTTGAAGCACTAATCCCCAATGTGACTTCATTGGGAGATAGAGCCTTTGAGGAGGTAATTAAAGTTAAATGGGGTCATAAGGGTGGGGCCCTAATCCAACAGCATGGGTGTTTTTATAAGAAGAGGAAGGGACACTAGAAATGTACACACACACAGAAAAGGCCAGGGGAGGACACAGCAAGAAAGCAGCTGTCTGCAAGTCAAGGAAAGAAGCCTCTAGAAAAACCAACCCTTCCTGCACCTTAATCTTGGACGTTCAACCTCCAGAGCTATGAGAAAATAAATTTCTGCTGTTTAAGCCAACCAGTCTGTGATATTTTGTTATGGCAGCCCTAGCAGACTAACACAGCACCTGATAAATATCTGTTTAATGAGTAAGAGGAATACTTAGAGGAACTAGTAACCCAGAGAAGAGAAGATTTAGAATAAGTGTTGTTAATGGAATTGTCTGTGGCAGGAGTGTGCCCTGTATATCCCTAGGGAGAAGACCTGAGGCCAATAATTGCAAGTTATAGAAAATGAGACACTGAATCAACATAAGGAAGACTTTCAACAACTAGAATTTACTATAATTCCCCCAGGGAGAGCATTATCACAGGCTTAAAGAATTTAAGACCAGCTCGGAGGGAGGCCTGCTGCAGGGATGAGAGCAGCATATGGTCAGAGGAAACCACAATGTGTATGGCTTCTTTGGAAAGAAACCATAGGGCAAGATCTGCCCCAATAGGATGGTTACTTCAAGATGTTCTAAAGCAAGCACACTTTCTGAAATTTGGGAAGAAAAATGAAGATCGTATACTTCTTAACAGAATAGTGGATAATAAATTAATTTGCAAAGGAAATTATCACAGCTAAGACTAGACTATACAAAATCATGGCGAAAGCTAATTATAAGTTTTTAAAACACATACCTCAAGTACTTGGCAGGATTTATCTTTTACTTTGCTCTATATTTGGTACCATTTTATTAGTTAATAAACAGAACTTACTACATTGCATCCATGTAAATTCCCATGAACACACACACACGCTGTTGGGATATTTCTCTGAGGGTACTTAGCTGCTAATCCTGAAACCCACGTCTAAGCTGTGTTTTCAAAGAAAGTACTATCAGTTCATCTGGTGACACTGAACAGAACAGAGAGTACAGCACAAAGGAGAAATCAGTTCATCTCTTTAGAATTTGCTTCAACCAATGATGAGATTAAAAATATCATACTAACCACTATTGATGAGTAAGGGGGGGAAAAAAAAACCCACAAGAACATGAAGCATAGAGAATCATTTCAAGCGAGGCCACACCTTACCAACAATTTACTTGTGTTAATTCCATTGTTGCTTAGTCCAGAAAGTACAACGAACCAGCCTTTCTGTTTTTTTCTAACACTCTGTCAAATCCTTTAGTGTAGCCCTGGCCAGTAGATAGATAATGTGAACCACGTGTGAAATCTTAATGTTTTAGTAGCCATGCTAAGAAACAGGTGAAATTAATTTTGATAACAGGATTTACTTAAGCCGATATATCCAAAATATTTGGACCAGCTTCATTTCAAGTGCTCTGGAAGCACGTGTGCCTAGTGACCGCTATACCAGACAGAGCAGAACGAGATCAGTGGGTCCCAAAGTCATTCTATGACACAGGCCTATTAGGGGATAAAAACTGAACTTGTATGCCCCAACACAATGTATACATTAATTAATGCATATTAATTTATTTAGAAATTGTAAACATGGATCATGTTATAAATACACTTCATACATGTTCTAAATATTAAACAATACAAATCACATAAGATGAGATACATATAAAGTAGATACATCCTTAAAATTTTCTCTTACGGGTTACTTCAGAAATTTTCTCACTAACATAACTGCAGTATAATTAGTAAATACAATGTGATAAAATGAACTTCATTATAGTTGAAAATTTTGATTTCACATTTGTATTGTGTGTAATTTAGCAATTCAAAGGCCTGTCACTAAGTTCAGTTTATTGTGATGCTTGGTTTCAATGGCTGTCAAAGCTGGAAAAAAAATGATATCTCCCAAAGACAAATACATTCAAATTAGAGAGTACACTATTGTCTGGACTTGAAATCATAATACCCATTTTTCAATCCCATCCACCCATTGCGCAAAAGTCTTTGTAATAACTCAGCAAGTAAGTTTCCACTTCCCTGTTGTCAGTGGTTCTTTCAGTTTCATTCTCATATTTTAAACAAATGTATTCAAAGCCCACTGAACTCTTTATTGTGAAGATTTGCAAAGTGTTTGGAAAATCTGCATCAGACAGACCCTAAGGTGATCTTTCATGGTTTTGCCCCTTGGGAAGACCATGCCTTTGTACAATCCTCTTCCCTTGAGTGTGAGCATCACATCTGACTTGTTTCTAACCAACACAGTATGGCAAAGTTATGGGATGTCACCGTCATGACTATGTTGCATTATGTAAGACTCTGTCTTAGCTTGCTGGAGCAAGAAACCCTTCTTGAAACCTGGGGGAAGTAAGTGGCCATACTGAAGAGCCCACATAGCCAGGAACTGTGGGCAGCCTCCAGGAACCCAGGGCGGCTTCTAGGACAGGCAGGTGGCCTCCAGCCTGCAGCCAGACAAAAGTCTGGACCTTCAGTCATACAGTCACAAGAAAATGAATTCTACCAACAACCTGAATGAGCTTGGGAGCAGATGATTCTTTCCCAGCAGAGCCTCCAGATGAAAACACAGTCTAGCTGAGACCTTAACTGCAGCCTTATGCGACCGTATGCAGTAGGCACTAAAGTTAACCATGCCCACACCTGGCCCAGGGAAAGCGCGAGATGATGTGCGCATGTGTATGTCACCGTAAGATGTTAAATTTCTGGTTATTTTTTATATAGTAATAGAAAACTAGTACATGCTGCTTCTATTTTTTTTTAGTGTGCACATGTGAGAGTTTTATTAAATAATAGGTAGCACATGATCATGTTTGGCTACAGAATCAGAAAACAATGGAGACATTTCCAGGTATCTATTTTACAAATGCTGTATCCAAAAATGAGAATTTGTCTTATAAAATGGAGTCGTCTTCACACATTATTAAAATATAAATTTTGCAAGGGAAGGGGTAGACTCAGTGTGCTTATATGCAAAAATGTCTGCCATGTAAACTGAAAGTAGTGTCATGTGTCATTACAGAAAAGATAAGAAAACTTTGTACCTTTATATTTTTATAAAATAAAAGTGTATATCTTTAAGTTTCACAACTCTTTCAGTGAACCTCTGAGTGGTTAAAAAATGTCTCCCTCTTCATCTCATTACAAAACGATATACAGATTCTATATTTTTAAAAGTCTTGGTTTTTAAACTTATAAAATTTAATGTTTAAAATCAATTACTTCAGTGTAGCCATGTATGCTTTTGTGGTTTTGACTTCTCATCTGTATTACTTCACCTATAAATAATGCAATGAATGAATTCCAAATTTGGTGTTACGTATGTAACATTACCCAAGAAACTTTTAAAAAATTCTAGTCAGAGGGACCAATCTATAAGTGAATATACTTAAATATTTCCTCCTAAAACATTGTTTTAATTATAGAAGTTATTCATTCTCAAAAATATGTCATCTTTGGTTATCCTTAATTTACTGGCATACCAGAAAAATGCAATTCTTTATGTTGTTTATTTTTGGAAAACCTAATCTAGCAAGTAGCATACATTAAGACATGCTAGAAACATCTGCACTTTCATCTGGCTATGGAAAAAACCTCCTATGCTATATTATTTGTCCTAAAAATTGTTCCTTCCAATCTTCACCAGTGTCTCCTATGTATATTTCCAAAGTATTTTGGCACGAAGAAATATTTTCTAGTATGTCACCATATCACTTGTATTATTTCAGTGATATCTTTTATATCAGGAAAACAAGTTTTGTTCCAATGGTATGTAGATTTTTTTTTTTTGAGACAGAGTCTCGCTTTGTTGTCCAGGCTAGAGTGAGTGCCGTGGCGTCAGCCTAGCTCACAGCAACCTCAAACTCCTGGGCTCGAGTGATCCTTCTGCCTCAGCCTCCCGAGTAGCTGGGACTACAGGCATGCGCCACCATGCCCGGCTAATTTTTTATATATATATCAGTTGGCCAATTAATTTCTTTCTATTTATAGTAGAGACGGGGTCTCGCTCTTGCTCAGGCTGGTTTTGAACTCCTGACCTTGAGCAATCCGCCCGCCTCGGCCTCCCAAGAGCTAGGATTACAGGCGTGAGCCACAGCGCCCGGCCTGGTATGTAGATTTTTGTCTTTGACTGCTACACCACATAAGATTAGGATTGTCAGCGTGTAATAGTAAAACCCCAAGTCATAGTGGCTTATGTTAGAAGGAAGTTTATCTCTCTCTGAGGTAAAAGAAGTCCCTAAACAGACAATCCAGGCAGGTAGGCAACTCAAAGTCTTCTGTCTTTGCTGGTGCACCAGTTTTAGCACACCTTCTCAAATTCTGATAGGATGGCTTGAGGTCCTGACTACTCATCTGAACTCCAGATGGGACAGGCAACCTCTGATATGCCAGTGATCTCTGCCTCTTGCTGTTCACATCCTTGTGCCATTCCTTTTCCTTGAGTGTGGGCTGGACCTAGTGACATCTAATGAATAGAACACAGCAAAAGTGATGGAATGTCACGTCCATGATTTGCTTTAAAAAGCTTATGGCTTTCATCTTGCTTGCACTCCCTGCCTTGCTGGCCACTCCCTCTCTTGTGTTCTTCTGCTTGCTTTGAGCAAGCTGCCATGTTAAGAGCTGCCCCAGGGAGAGACTCATGTGGCAAAGAATTGAGGGGGGCTTCAGGCTAACAGCCAGTGAGGACCAGAAACCCTTAGCCCCACAGCCCACATGGAACTGAATCCTGCTGGTGACAATGTGAGTGAATTTGGGAGTCGCATCCTTCCCTGTTGAGATCTGAGATGGCTATAGCATAGCCAGTGCCTTGACTACGGTCTTCTCAGGGACTCTGAGCTACAGGACTTAGCTAGCTAAGCCATGCCCAGATTTCTGACCAACAGAACCTTTGAGATAATAAATGCTTTTTTAAGCCACTAAAATTTCAGCATAATTTGTTATGCAATAATAGATAATCAATATACCAGCCAACAGGGAGGAAAATGGAGATGAAGAAAGGTATATTCTCTTCTGTTTTAAGGGGACTTTATGTTTATAACTCATTAGGTAGAATTTAGTCGCAACGACATAAATAGCTGCAAAGGAGGTTAGGGAATACCTTTAAAAAAAAATCTGGACAGCAATATTTCCTGCTGAATATTG